AAAGGGAGGGGGTTGAAGGGGAGGGGGTTGACGGGGAGGGGGTTGACGGGGAGGGGGTTGAAGGGGAGGGGGTTGAAGGGGAGGGGGTTGACGGGGAGGGGGTTGAAGGGGAGGGGGTTGAAGGGGAGGGGGTTGAAGGGGAGGGGGTTGACGGGGAGGGGGTTGAAGGGGAGGGGGTTGAAAGGGAGGGGGTTGAAGGGGAGGGGGTTGACGGGGAGGGGGTTGAAGGGGAGGGGGTTGAAAGGGAGGGGGTTGAAGGGGAGGGGGTTGACGGGGAGGGGGTTGAAGGGGAGGGGGTTGAAAGGGAGGGGGTTGAAGGGGAGGGGGTTGACGGGGAGGGGGTTGAAGGGGAGGGGGTTGAAGGGGAGGGGGTTGACGGGGAGGGGGTTGACGGGGAGGGAGTTGAAGGGGAGGGGGTTGACGGGGAGGGGGTTGAAGGGGAGGGGGTTGAAGGGGAGGGGGTTGAAAGGGAGGGGGTTGAAGGGGAGGGAGTTGAAGGGGAGGGGGTTGAAGGGGAGGGAGTTGAAGGGGAGGGGGTTGAAGGGGAGGGGGTTGACGGGGAGGGGGTTGAAGGGGAGGGGGTTGACGGGGAGGGGGTTGAAGGGGAGGGGGTTGACGGGGAGGGGGTTGAAGGGGAGGGGGTTGACGGGGAGGGGGTTGAAGGGGAGGGGGTTGAAGGGGAGGGGGTTGAAGGGGAGGGGGTTGACGGGGAGGGGGTTTGAAGGGGAGGGGGTTGAAGGGGAGGGGGTTTGACCGGGAGGGGGTTTGACCGGGAGGGGGTTTGACAGGGTGGGGGTTGACGGAGTTCCGGTTGGCGGTGAAGGAGAAGAAGGGCATTTGTAGCGGGAGAGGTGGGGGGGTGTTAACGGGGGTGGGGGGGGGGGTGTTCACGGGGGTGGGTGGATAAGGGGGGACCATTGTGTTGGGGTATGAGGCGAGAGGCAGTAACCAGCGGGGGTCAAAAGGTTGTATAATGGTCGACCAAGTACCCCCAGGGAACGTCTCGTGGGAGACTCTATACCCAGCCACCGCCGCCGGCTCTCCTAACCTCTGCCATGATGCCCAACCAACACGACACATAACAGTTCAGGGGCCTGACAGCTGAGTGGAGAACGCTCGGGATTCCTAGTCCTAAGTTTCCGGGTTCGATCCCCGGCGGAGGCGGAAACAAATGGGTTGAGTTTCTTTCACCCCTAATGGCCCCTTTCAGCTAGCAGTAAATAGGTACCTGGGAGTTAGACAGCTGCTACGGGCTGCTTCCTGGGGGGGGGGGTAACAAGAAGGAGGCCTAGTCGAGAACCGGGCCGCGGGGACGCTAAGCCGCGAAATCATCTCAAGATAACCTCAAGATAACAAGGTAATAACGGTAGTTAGATCGTGTGCTTGTTAGCATCAGAGTGTGTGATGGTTATCTTGAGTTATCTTGAGATGATTTCGGGGCTTTAGTGTCCCCGCGGCCCGGTCCTCGACCAGGCCTCCACCCCCAGGAAGCAGCCCGTGACAGCTGACTAACTCCCAGGTACCTATTTACTGCTAGGTAACAGGGGCATTCAGGGTGAAAGAAACTTTGCCCATTGTTTCTGCCTCGTGCGGGAATCGAACCCACGCCACAGAATTACGAGTCCTGCGCGCTATCCACCAGGCTACGAGGCCCCCCGAGGACATTAGCTGTCATGGTTGGTGACCATGGTTGTGGTGGTTGTTACTGCAGCTGTCATGGTTGGTGACCATGGTTGTGGTGGTTGTTACTGCAGCTGTCATGGTTGGTGGGCATGGTTGTGGTGGTTGTTACCGCAGCTGTCATGGTTGGTGAGCATGGTTGTGGTGGTTGTTACTGCAGCTGTCATGGTTGGTGGGAATGGTTGTGGTGGTTGTTACCGCAGCTGTCATGGTTGGTGGGCATGGTTGTGGTGGTTGTTACCGCAGCTGTCATGGTTGGTGGCCATGGTTGTGGTGGTTGTTACCGCAGCTGTCATGGTTGGTGGGCATGGTTGTGGTGGTTGTTACCGCAGCTGTCATGGTTGGTGGCCATGGTAGTGGTGGTTGTTACCGCAGCTGTCATGGTTGGTGGCCATGGTTGTGGTGGTTGTTACCGCAGCTGTCATGGTTGGTGGGCATGGTTGTGGTGGTTGTTACCGCAGCTGTCATGGTTGGTGATCATGGTTGTGGAGGTTGTTACCGCAGCTGTCATGGTTGGTGGCCATGGTTGTGGTGGTTGTTACCGCAGCTGTCATGGTTGGTGGCCATGGTTGTGGTGGTTGTTACTGCAGCTGTCATGGTTGGTGGCCATGGTTGTGGTGGTTGTTACCGCAGCTGTCATGGTTGGTGACCATGGTTGTGGTGGTTGTTACTGCAGCTGTCATGGTTGGTGACCATGGTTGTGGTGGTTGTTACTGCAGCTGTCATGGTTGGTGACCATGGTTGTGGTGGTTGTTACTGCAGCTGTCATGGTTGGTGGGCATGGTTGTGGTGGTTGTTACTGCAGCTGTCATGGTTGGTGGGCATGATTGTGGTGGTTGTTACCGCAGCTGTCATGGTTGGTGGCCATGGTTGTGGTGGTTGTTACTGCAGCTGTCATGGTTGGTGGCCATGGTTGTGGTGGTTGTTACCGCAGCTGTCATGGTTGGTGGCCATGGTTGTGGTGGTTGTTACCGCAGCTGTCATGGTTGGTGGCCATGGTTGTGGTGGTTGTTACCGCAGCTGTCATGGTTGGTGGCCATGGTTGTGGTGGTTGTTACCGCAGCTGTCATGGTTGGTGACCATGGTTGTGGTGGTTGTTACCGCAGCTGTCATGGTTGGTGACCATGGTTGTGGTGGTTGTTACCGCAGCTGTCATGGTTGGTGAGGTTCTTGGCTGCCTTCCACCTACTAATATAGTGTGTGGTGGCAGGTGTGTTGTCTTCACCACAGTAGCGGTGGTCTAGAAGTTCCTCAAGTGGTGATTTTTGTCCCCGAGGGCCGAGGCCAAACCCCGAGGGCCGAGGCCAAACCCCGAGGGCCGAGGCCAAACCCCGAGGGCCGAGGCCAAACCCCGAGGGCCGAGGCCAAACCCGCTGGGTTGTTCATCCTGTCACTTGTACCCAAACACAGCTTAACTGTCTCCAGTAAACACCTTCTCAAACACGAAGATTAACATCTATCAACTCTTAAAATCTTACGTTATCTTGCGGGTGCAAAATGTGGGAATCTTTAAAGAACAGTATCAATATTTGACAGTGTTTTCTTAACTCAAACAATGTGGGGTTTATTATTCTACACATATTTCTAATGTCTCTCAGGTGTTCACATTCACGTAGATAGTGGTCAAGGCGGTGTCCGGCACTCTCACCACAGATTCTGCAACTTCGCTGATCAACTGTTGTTTCCATTCCGAATCTCCATGGATATTTGTATCCAAGACGGATTCTCGCTATTACTGATTCTCTCCCTCGGCCTCCTCCTCTTCGGTCATAATGATTGGGATTGCCAGCTGCAACCATGTTGTACCATCGTACAGATTCACTGGTTTGTGCTTCTATCCTCCTTTCCTCAGTTACCTTGTCACGGTGATGTTGCCTGACAATACCTCTAATTTGTAGCAGAGTCTTGGGTATGAAGTATTTAATAAGGTCTCCTTCAGCGCCTTCGGCAGCCAGCACATCTGCTCGTTCATTCCCACATATTCCAACATGGGAGGGGATCCCCAACATGGGAGGGGATCCACAGAACCTTGATGACTCTTCCCTGATTGGTTAGTACTCTCACAGCTCTCTTGATCTCAGTGACTATCACAAGGTTTTCTGCCTGATTTTTAGTAAGGTTTTACAGTGCTGCTTTTGAATCGGTGCAGATCACTGCACCGTCAGTGTTTCTTTCTAGGAATCTTAACGCCATAACAATGGCAGTTAGTTCTGCTTGCGTTGAAGAGGCATAGTTCTCCATTAACCACTCAACCATCCTCCACCTCAAGCTGACAAAGCTCTGTCATATCTACATTTGAAACTGTGTATGGAGTCAGCCTCCACCACTTCACTTCCTAGTGCATTCCATTTACTAACTACTCTGACACTGAAAAAAGTTCTTTCTAATGTCTCTGTGGCTCATTTGGGTACTCAGCTTCCACCTGAGTCCCCTTGTGCGTGTACCACCCGTGTTAATTAATCCATCCTTATCTACCATGTCAATTCCCCTGTGAATTTTGTATGTGGTGATCATATCTCATGCCTCTTAGCTCTGGGACTAGCCTAGTGGCATACCTCTGAACTTTTTCCAGCTTCGTCTTGTGCTTGACAAGGTACGGGCTCCATGCTGGGGCCGCATACTCCAGGATTGGTCTTGCATACGTGGTATACAAGGTTCTGAAAGATTTCTTACACAGGTTCCTGAGGCAGTTCTGATGTTAGCCAGCCTTGCATACGCCGCAGATGTTATTCTATTTATGTGAGCTTCATGAAATCGGTTTGTCGTGATATCAACCCCTAGATCTCTCTCTCCGTTAATTTCATGAAGGACATCATCTCCTATTCTGTATCCTGTGTCTGGCCTCCTGTTTCCACTACCTAGTTTCATTACTTTGCATTTACTCACGTTGAACTTTAGTAGCCATTTGTTAGACCATTCATTCAGTCTGTCTAGGTCATCTTGTAGCCTCATACTATCCTCCTCTGTCTTAATCCTCCTCATAATTTTTGCATCATCAGCAAACAATGAGAGGAAGCAGTCTATACCCTCTGGGAGATCATTTACATGCATCAGGAGCAGTATAGGTCCAAGGAGTGAACCCTGCGGGACTCCACTGGTGAGACCTCGCCAATTTGAGGCCTCACCCCTCACGGACTCGCTGTCTTCTGTTGTTTAGGTACTCCCTTATCCAGTGGAGTACCCTCACTTTCACTCCTGCCTTCATCTCCAGCTTTTGCACTAGTCTCTGGTGTAGAACTGTCAAAGGCTTTCTGGCAAGCCAAAAATATGCAGTCTGTGTAGGTCATAGAATTCAATTAATCCTGTGAGGCAGGACTTGCCATCCCTGAATCCACGCTGATGTTGTCACAAAGTTCCTTCGCTCCAGATGTTCCACTAGATATTTTCGCACAATCTCTTCCATAACCTTGCATGGTATGTAGGTTAGGGACACTGGCCTGTAGTTCAGTGCCTCCTGTCTATCCCGTTACTTGTATATCGGGACTCCATTAGCCGTCTTCCAAATTTTTGGCAGTTCCCCTGTTAGCAGTGATTTGTTATATATTGTATAGTGTGTATCGGTCAAGCTGTGTACTGATCTAGCTGTACTCACCTAGTTGTGCTTGCGGGGGTTGAGCTCTGGCTCTTTGGTCCCGCCTCTCAACCGTCAATCAACAGGTGTACAGATTCCTGAGCCTATTGGGCTCTATCATATCTACACTTGAAACTGTGTATGGAGTCAGCCTCCACCACATCACTTCCTAATGCATTCCATTTGTCAACCACTCTGACACTAAAAAAGTTCTTTCTAATATCTCTGTGGCTCATTTGGGTACTCAGTTTCCACCTGTGTCCCCTTGTGCGTGTGCCCCTTGTGTTAAATAGCCTGTCTTTATCTACCTTATCAATTCACTTGAGAATCTTGAATGTGGTGATCATGTCCTCCCTAACTCTTCTTTCTTCCAGCGAAGTGAGGTTTAATTCCCGTAGTCTCTCCTCGTAGCTCATACCTCTCAGCTCGGGTACTAGTCTGGTGGCAAATCTTTGAACCTTTTCCAGTTTAGTCTTATCCTTGACTAGATACGGACTCTATGCTGGGGCTGCATACTCCAGGATTGGCCTGACATACGTGGTCTACAAAGTTCTGAATGATTCTTTACACAAATTTCTGAATGCCGTTCGTATGTTGGCCAGCCTGGCATATGCCGCTGATGTTATCCTCTTGATATGCGCTGCAGGAGACAGGTCTGGCGTGATATCAACTCCCAAGTCTTTTTCTTTCTCTGACTCCTGAAGAATTTCCTCTCCCAGATAATACCTTGTATTTGGCCTCCTGCTCCCTGCACCTATCTTCATTATATTACATTTGGTTGGGTTAAACTCTAACAACCACTTGTTCGACCATTCCTGCAGTTTGTCTAGGTCTTCTTGAAGCCTCAAACAGTCCTCTTCTGTCTTAATCCTTCTCATAATTTTGGCATCGTCCGCAAACATTGAGAGAAATGAATCTATACCCTCCGGGAGATCATTTACATATATCAGAAACAAGATAGGACCGTGTACAGAGCCCTGTGGGACTCCACTGGTGACTTCACGCCAATTGGAGGTCTCACCCCTCACCGTAACTCTCTGCTTCCTATTGCTTAGGTACTCCCTTATCCACTGGAGCACCTTACCAGCTACACCTGCCTGTCTCTCCAGCTTATGTACCAGCCTCTTATGCGGTACTGTGTCAAAGGCTTTCCGACAATCCAAGAAAATGCAGTCCGCCCAGCTCTCTCTTTCTTGCTTAATCTCTGTTACCTGGTCATAGAATTCTATTAAGCCCGTCAGGCAAGATTTACCCTCCCTGAACCCATGTCGTCGATTTGTCACGAAGTCCCTTCTCTCCAGATGTGCTACCAGGTTTTTTCTCACGATCTTCTCCATCACCTTGCATGGTATACAAGTTAAGGACACTGGCCTGTAGTTCAGTGCCTCTTGCCTGTCGCCCTTTTTGTATATTGGGACCACATTCGCATTCTTCCATATTTCTGGTAGATCTCCCGTCTCCAGTGACCTACTATACACTATGGAGAGTGGCAAGCAAAGTGCCTCTGCACACTCTTTCAGTACCCATGGCGAGATCCCGTCTGAACCAACAGCCTTTCTAACATCCAGGTCCAGCAGGTGTCTCTTGACCTCCTCTCTCGTAATTTCAAACTCTTCCAAGGCCGCCTGGTTTACTTCCCTTTCTCCTAGCACAGTGACCTCACCTTGTTCTGTTGTGAAGACCTCCTGGAACCTCTTGTTGAGTTCATCACACACCTCTTTGTCATTCTCTGTATACCTGTCCTCGCCTGTTTTAAGTTTCACTACCTGTTCTTTCACTGTTGTTTTCCTTCTGATGTGACTGTGGAGTAGCATTGGTTCGGTCTTGGCTTTGTTTGCTATATCATTTTCATAACTTTTCTCTGCTTCTCTTCTCACCCTGACATACTCATTCCTGGTTCTCTGGTATCTCTCTCTGCTTTCCGGTGTTCTGTTATTCCGGAAGTTCCTCCACGCCCTTTTGTTCAGTACCTTTGCTTCCATAAATGCCCTATTATACCATGGATTCTTCTTTTGCTTCTCGGATTTTTCCCTTTGGGCCGGGATGTATCTGCTTACTGCCTCCTGACACTTTTGGGTGACATAGTCCATCATATCTTGTACAGACTTAGCTCTGAGGTCTGTGTCCCAAGGTATTTCCCTTAGGAAGCTTCTCATCTCCTCATAATTTCCCTTTCGGTATGCCAGCCTTTTGTTTCCTAGTTCTTTTTTGGGGGGGGGGGATATAATTCCTAGCTCTACCAGGTACTCAAAGTTCAATACACTGTGATCACTCATTCCCAAGGGCGCTTCCATCTTGACTTATATCCCACTCATTTAGGGTAAATATCAGATCAAGCATTGCTGGTTCATCCTCTCCTCTCATTCTTGTTGGATCCTTGGTGCGGGGATCGTATACCGGTCAAGGTGTACTCACCTAGTTGTGCTTGCGGGGGTTGAGCTTTGGCTCTTTGGTCCCGCCTCTCAATTGTCAATCAACTGGTGTACAGATTCCTGAGCCTACTGGGCTCTATCATATCTACACTTGAAACTGTGTATGGAGTCAGCCTCCACCACATCACTGCCTAATGCATTCCATCCGTTAACTACTCTGACACTGAAAAAGTTCCTTCTAACGTCTCTGTGGCTCATGTGGGTTCGAGGACCAGCGTCCTCGAACCCCAGAGAGCCCCGCACCAGCGTCCTCGTGCCCCAGAGAGCCCCGCACCAGCGTCCTCGTGCCCCAGAGAGCCCCGCACCAGCGTCCTCGTGCCCCAGAGAGCCCCGCACCAGCGTCCTCGTGCCCCAGAGAGCCCCGCACCAGCGTCCTCGTGCCCCCAGAGAGCCCCGCACCAGCGTCCTCGTGCCCCAGCGAGCCCCGCACCAGCGTCCTCGTGCCCCAGCGAGCCCCGCACAGCGTCCTCGTGCCCCAGAGAGCCCCGCACCAGCGTCCTCGTGCCCCAGAGAGCCCCGCACCAGCGTCCTCGTGCCCCAGAGAGCCCCGCACCAGCGTCCTCGTGCCCCAGAGAGCCCCGCACCAGCGTCCTCGTGCCCCAGAGAGCCCCGCACCAGCGTCCTCGTGCCCCAGCGAGCCCCGCACCAGCGTCCTCGTGCCCCAGCGAGCCCCGCACCAGCGTCCTCGTGCCCCAGCGAGCCCCGCCCAGCGTCCTCGTGCCCCAGAGAGCCCCGCACAGCGTCCTCGTGCCCCAGAGAGCCCCGCACCAGCGTCCTCGTGCCCCAGAGAGCCCCGCACCAGCGTCCTCGTGCCCCAGAGAGCCCCGCACCAGCGTCCTCGTGCCCCAGAGAGCCCCGCACCAGCGTCCTCGTGCCCCAGAGAGCCCCGCACCAGCGTCCTCGTGCCCCAGAGAGCCCCGCACCAGCGTCCTCGTGCCCCAGAGAGCCCCGCACCAGCGTCCTCGTGCCCCAGAGAGCCCCGCACCAGCGTCCTCGTGCCCCAGAGAGCCCCGCACCAGCGTCCTCGTGCCCCAGAGAGCCCCGCACCAGCGTCCTCGTGCCCCAGAGAGCCCCGCACCAGCGTCCTCGTGCCCCAGAGAGCCCCGCACCAGCGTCCTCGTGCCCCAGAGCGCCCCGCACCAGCGTCCTCGTGCCCCAGAGCGCCCCGCACCAGCGTCCTCGTGTCCCAGAGAGCCCCGCACCAGCGTCCTCGTGCCCCAGAGAGCCCCGCACCAGCGTCCTCGTGCCCCAGAGAGCCCCGCACCAGCGTCCTCGTGCCCCAGAGAGCCCCGCACCAGCGTCCTCGTGCCCCAGAGAGCCCCGCACCAGCGTCCTCGTGCCCCAGAGAGCCCCGCACCAGCGTCCTCGTGCCCCAGAGAGCCCCGCACCAGCGTCCTCGTGCCCCAGAGAGCCCCGCACCAGCGTCCTCGTGCCCCAGAGAGCCCCGCACCAGCGTCCTCGTGCCCCAGAGAGCCCCACCAGCGTCCTCGTGCCCCAGAGAGCCCCGCACCAGCGTCCTCGTGCCCCAGAGAGCCCCGCACCAGCGTCCTCGTGCCCCAGAGAGCCCCGCACCAGCGTCCTCGTGCCCCAGAGAGCCCCGCACCAGCGTCCTCGTGCCCCAGCGAGCCCCGCACCAGCGTCCTCGTGCCCCAGCGAGCCCCGCACCAGCGTCCTCGTGCCCCAGCGAGCCCCGCACAGCGTCCTCGTGCCCCAGAGAGCCCCGCACAGCGTCCTCGTGCCCCAGAGAGCCCCGCACAGCGTCCTCGTGCCCCAGCGAGCCCCGCACAGCGTCCTCGTGCCCCAGAGAGCCCCGCACCAGCGTCCTCGTGCGCCTTGGTTGCCATTATTTGATCCGGCTCCTGTCCTCCAGGAGAGAAGTGGGTGACCCACAAGGCGTAATCTGTCAGGTATTTTCTCTCTCACGGGCTGTGATGAGGGGAAGGGCGGGAGAGAGACTGGGTGGGTGGTGTCAGTATAGTGGGGGGGGGGGGGGTGGTGGTGTCAGTATAGGAAGGGGGGGTGGTGTCAGTATAGGTGGGTGGTTGTGGTGTCAGTATTGGAGGGGGTGGTGTCAGTATTGGAGGGGGTTGTGTCAGTATTGGAGGGGGTGGTGTCAGTATTGGAGGGGGTGGTGTCAGTATTGGAGGGGGTGGTGTCAGTATAGGAAGGGGTGGTGTCAGTATAGGAAGGGGTGGTGTCAGTATAGGAAGGGGTGGTGTCAGTATAGGAGGGGGTGTCAGTATACGAGGGGTGGTGTCAGTATAGGAGGGGGTGGTGTCAGTATACGAGGGGTGGTGTCAGTATAGGAGGGGGTGTCAGTATAGGAGGGGGTGGTGTCAGTATAGGAGGGGGTGTCAGTATACGAGGGGTGGTGTCTGTATAGGAGTGGGTGTCAGTATACGAGGGGTGGTGTCAGTATAGGAGGGGGTGGTGTCAGTATAGGAGTGGGGTGGTGTCAGTATAGGAGTGGGGTGGTGTCAGTATAGGAGTGGGGTGGTGTCAGTATAGGAGTGGGGTGGTGTCAGTATAGGAGTGGGGTGGTGTCAGTATAGGAGTGGGGTGGTGTCAGTATAGGAGGGGGTGTCAGTATACGAGGGGTGGTGTCAGTATAGGAGGGGGTGGTGTCAGTATAGTGGGTGGTGTCAGCATAGGAGGGTGCGGTGTCAGTATAGTGGGTGGTGTCAGTATAGGAGGGTGGTGATGGTGTCAGTATAGGAGGGGTGGTGTCAGTATAGCGGGAGGTGGTGTCAATATAGTGGGTGGTGATGTCAGTATAGTGGGTGGTGGTGTCAGTATAGTGGGTGGTGGTGTCAGTATAGTGGGTGGTGGTGTCAGTATAGTGGATGGTGGTGTCAGTATAGTGGATGGTGGTGTCAGTATAGTGGGTGGTGGTGTCAGTATAGTGGACGGTGGTGGTGTCAGTATAGTGGATGGTGGTGTCAGTATAGTGGATGGTGGTGTCAGTATAGTGGGTGGTGGTGTCAGTATAGTGGGTGGTGGTGGTGTCAGTATAGTGGATGGTGGTGGTGTCAGTATAGTGGATGGTGGTGGTGTCAGTATAGTGGGTGGTGGTGTCAGTATAGTGGGTGGTGGTGTCAGTATAGTGGGTGGTGGTGTCAGTATAGTGGGTGGTGGTGTCAGTATAGTGGGTGGTGGTGTCAGTATAGTGGGTGGTGGTGTCAGTATACTGGATGGTGGTGTCAGTATAGTGGATGGTGGTGTCAGTATAGTGGGTGGTGGTGTCAGTATAGTGGATGGTGGTGTCAGTATAGTGGGTGGTGGTGGTGTCAGTATAGTGGGTGGTGGTGGTGTCAGTATACTGGGTGGTGATGTCAGTATAGTGGGTGGTGGTGTCAGTATAGTGGATGGTGGTGTCAGTATAGTGGGTGGTGGTGTCAGTATAGTGGGTGGTGGTGTCAGTATAGTGGGTGGTGTGTCAGTATAGTGGGTGGTGGTGTCAGTATAGTGGGTGGTGGTGTCAGTATAGTGGGTGGTGGTGTCAGTATAGTGGGTGGTGGTGTCAGTATAGTGGGTGGTGGTGTCAGTATAGTGGGTGGTGGTGGTGTCAGTATAGTGGGTGGTGTCAGTATACTGTGTGGTGGTGTCAGTATAGTGGATGGTGGTGGTGTCAGTATAGTTGGTGGTGGTGTCAGTATAGTGGGTGGTGGTGTCAGTATACTGGGGGGTGGTGTCAGTATAGTGGCTGGTGGTGGTGTCAGTATACTGGGTGGTGGTGTCAGTAAAGGTGGTGGTGTCGGTATAGTGGATGGTGGTGGTGTCAGTATACTGGGTGGTGGTGTCAGTATAGTGGATGGTGGTGGTGTCAGTATACTGGGAGGTGGTGTCAGTAAAGGAGGTGGTGGTGTCAGTATACTGGGTGGTGGTGTCAGTATACTGGGTGGTGGTGTCAGTATACTGGGTGGTGTCAGTATACTGGGTGGTGGTGTCAGTATAGTGGATGGTGGTGGTGTCAGTATACTGGGTGGTGTCAGTATAGTGGATGGTGGTGGTGTCAGTATACTGGGTGGTGGTGTCAGTAAAGGAGGTGGTGGTGTCAGTATAGTGGATGGTGGTGGTGTCAGTATAGTGGATGGTGGTGGTGTCAGTATACTGGGTGGTGGTGTCAGTATAGTGGATGGTGGTGGTGTCAGTATACTGGGTGGTGGTGTCAGTAAAGGAGGTGGTGGTGTCAGTATAGTGGATGGTGGTGGTGTCAGTATACTGGGTGGTGGTGTCAGTAAAGGAGGTGGTGGTGTCAGTATACTGGGTGGTGGTGTCAGTATAGTGGATGGTGGTGTCAGTATACTGGGTGGTGGTGTCAGTATAGTGGATGGTGGTGTCAGTATACTGGGTGGTGGTGTCAGTATAGTGGATGGTGGTGGTGTCAGTATACTGGGTGGTGGTGTCAGTATAGTGGATGGTGGTGGTGTCAGTATACTGGGTGGTGTCAGTATAGTGGATGGTGGTGGTGTCAGTATACTGGGTGGTGGTGTTAGTAAAGGTGGTGGTGGTGTCAGTATACTGGGTGGTGGTGTTAGTAAAGGTGGTGGTGGTGTCAGTATAGTGGATGGTGGTGTCAGTATACTGGATGGTGGTGTCAGTATACTGTGTGGTGGTGTCAGTATAGTGGATGGTGGTGGTGTCAGTATAGTTGGTGGTGGTGTCAGTATAGTGGGTGGTGGTGTCAGTATACTGGGGGGTGGTGTCAGTATAGTGGATGGTGGTGGTGTCAGTATACTGGGTGGTGGTGTCAGTAAAGGAGGTGGTGTCAGTATAGTGGGTGGTGGTGTTAGTTTAGTGGGTGGTGGTGTCAGTATAGTGGGTGGTGATGTCAGTATAGTGGGTGGTGGTGTCAGTATAGTGGGTGGTGTCAGTATAGTGGGTGGTGTCAGTATAGTAGGTGGTGTCAGTATAGTGGGTGGTGGTGTCAGTATAGTGGGTGGTGGTGTCAGTATAGTGGATGGTGGTGGTGTCAGTATACTGGGTGGTGGTGTCAGTATAGGAAGAGCCACATAAGTCTGCAGGTAAACTCAGTGTAACGAGACTAAGAGAGCAACATATCAGAGGTTGTAAGTCTAGAGGTTGTTGTGTTCGGCGTAGGGGTGGGGGTGGGGTTATTGGTGGGGGTGGTAGGGGGTTGTGGGGGGCATGAGGAGAGGGGGGGGGGCGAGGCGGTCCCCACCACAGGTAACCACTACACACCACAACACTCCCACTGCCTCCTGTGATAGCCTTAAACCTCTAATGAAGTGCTAACCACAGACTGAGCGCGGGTCTTGTCAGTCAACCAGCCAACCAACTGGACTTGGGTTGCTCTCCACCAAGCTCCTCCCCCCCTCACCACCCCTCTCTCACCCCTCTCGCGTCACTTGCGTGTATCGTAACACACATTTATCAATTACACACTTAAGTTATCAGTCTCCCGTGTAGGTAATGACCGGAGTTTGAAGAGTGAAGCCTGGGCGTGGTTATAACGGGGTTGACATGTTAGAAACTATCGTGACGAGCTTGTTTGGGTCACTAATGAGCGAATTGTAGCCGACACCGATACCCGGAGCGGCTAATCTCCCCTTCCCGCTCACTCTGGCCATATTCCACTAAGTTTCGTCCGCATTCCTCGCCCCTGTGAGTGAGTGAGTAAGCTCCTCGCTAAGGTGAGCCTCCACTACGCTTCCCCAGCGCCAGCTCCCACTCGTGTGGGCAGGTCTCCGAGGCTGCTCCCACCTCTGGTCACTAGCTCTAAGCACTTTTCCTTGTTGAAGCGTTAAGGTGAAGAGTGGAGATAGCATCAGGGGATGTTATTGTGTGGCTGCCTCGGCCCCTGTTGACACCAGAATCATTTTAAATAAGACCTTAACACGGCATAATAATTATCCCGAGCCAGCCACGCGCTTCTCGCTTACACGCCTCCAAGGACGGGAGCCACTCAAGGTGGAGGAGGACCTCAACACTCTACAGTTAGAACGGCAGTATTGCTCTCAAGTTATAGCGGGTTACACTAACACTTGTGGAACACTAACACTTGTGGAACACTAACACTTGTGGAACACTAACACTTGTGGAACACTAACACTTGTGGAACACTAACACTTGTGGAACACTAACACTTGGGGGAACACTAACACTTGGGGGAACACTAACACTTGGGGGAACACTAACACTTGGGGAACACTAACACTTGGGGAACACTAACACTTGGGGGGAACACTAACACTTGGGGAACACTAACACTTGGGGACTACACTTGGGGGAACACTAACACTTGGGGGAACACTAACACTTGGGGGAACACTAACACTTGGGGGAACACTAACACTTGGGGGAACACTAACACTTGGGGGAACACTAACACTTGGGGGAACACTAACACTTGGGGGAACACTAACACTTGGGGGAACACTAACACTTGGGGGAACACTAACACTTGGGGGAACACTAACACTTGGGGGAACACTAACACTTGGGGGAACACTAACACTTGGGGGAACACTAACACTTGGGGGAAACACTAACACTTGGGGGAACACTAACACTTGGGGGAACACTAACACTTGGGGGAACACTAACACTTGGGGGAACACTAACACTTGGGGGAACACTAACACTTGGGGGAACACTAACACTTGGGGGAACACTAACACTTGGGGGAACACTAACACTTGGGGGAACACTAACACTTGGGGGAACACTAACACTTGGGGGAACACTAACACTTGGGGGAACACTAACACTTGGGGGAACACTAACACTTGGGGGAACACTAACACTTGGGGGAACACTAACACTTGGGGGAACACTAACACTTGGGGGAACACTAACACTTGGGGGAACACTAACACTTGGGGGAACACTAACACTTGGGGGAACACTAACACTTGGGGGAACACTAACACTTGGGGGAACACTAACACTTGGGGGAACACTAACACTTGGGGGAACACTAACACTTGGGGGAACACTAACACTTGGGGGAACACTAACACTTGGGGGACACTAACACTTGGGGAACACTAACACACACTTGGGGGAACACTAACACTTGGGGGAACACTACACTTGGGGGAACACTAACACTTGGGGGAACACTAACACTTGGGGGAACACTAACACTTGGGGGAACACTAACACTTGGGGGAACACTAACACTTGGGGGAACACTTGGGGGAACACTAACACTTGGGGGAACACTAACACTTGGGGGAACACTAACACTTGGGGGAACACTAACACTTGGGGGAACACTAACACTTGGGGGAACACTAACACTTGGGGGAACACTAACACTTGGGGGAACACTAACACTTGGGGGAACACTAACACTTGGGGGAACACTAACACTTGGGGGAACACTAACACTTGGGGGAACACTAACACTTGGGGGAACACTAACACTTGGGGGAACACTAACACTTGGGGGAACACTAACACTTGGGGGAACACTAACACTTGGGGAACACTAACACTTGGGGGAACACTAACACTTGGGGGAACACTAACACTTGGGGGAACACTAACACTTGGGGGAACACTAACACTTGGGGGAACACTAACACTTGGGGGAACACTAACACTTGGGGGAACACTAACACTTGGGGGAACACTAACACTTGGGGGAACACTAACACTTGGGGGAACACTAACACTTGGGGGAACACTAACACTTGGGGGAACACTAACACTTGGGGGAACACTAACACTTGGGGGAACACTAACACTTGGGGGAACACTAACACTCGGGGGAACACTAACACTCGGGGGAACACTAACACTCGGGGGAACACTAACACTCGGGGGAACACTAACACTCGGGGGAACACTAACACTCGGGGGAACACTAACACTCGGGGGAACACTAACACTCGGGGGAACACTAACACTCGGGGGAACACTAACACTCGGGGGAACACTAACACTCGGGGGAACACTAACACTCGGGGGAACACTAACACTCGGGGAACACTAACACTCGGGGGAACACTAACACTCGGGGAACACTAACACTCGGGGGAACACTAACACTCGGGGGAACACTAACACTCGGGGGAACACTAACACTCGGGGGAACACTAACACTCGGGGGAACACTAACACTCGGGGGAACACTAACACTCGGGGGAACACTAACACTCGGGGGAACACTAACACTCGGGGGAACACTAACACTCGGGGGAACACTAACACTCGGGGGAACACTAACACTCGGGGGAACACTAACACTCGGGGGAACACTAACACTCGGGGGAACACTAACACTCGGGGGAACACTAACACTCGGGGGAACACTAACACTCGGGGGAACACTAACACTCGGGGGAACACTAACACTTGGAACACTAACACTTGGAACACTAACACTTGGAACACTAACACTTGGGGGAACACTAACACTTGGGGGAACACTAACACTCGGGGAACACTAACGTTCAGATGTGTGGTTGTGGTCACAAGAGGTTGTGGTCACAAGAGGTTGTGTGGTTGTGGTCACAAGAGGTTGTGGTCACAAGAGGTTGTGTGGTTGTGGTCACAAGAGGTTGTGGTCACAAGAGGTTGTGGTCACAAGAGGTTGTGGTCACAAGAGGTTGTGGTCACAAGAGGTTGTGGTCACAAGAGGTTGTGTGGTTGTGGTCACAAGAGGTTGTGGTCACAAGAGGTTGTGTGGTTGTAGTCACAAGAGGTTGTGTGGTTGTGGTCACAAGAGGTTGTGTGGTTGTAGTCACAAGAGGTTGTGTGGTTGTGGTCACAAGAGGTTGTGGTCACAAGAGGTTGTGGTCACAAGAGGTTGTGGTCACAAGAGGTTGTGGTCACAAGAGGTTGTGTGGTTGTGGTCACAAGAGGTTGTGTGGTTGTAGTCACAAGAGGTTGTGTGGTTGTGGTCACAAGAGGTTGTGGTCACAAGAGGTTGTGGTCACAAGAGGTTGTGTGGTTGTGGTCACAAGAGGTTGTGTGGTTGTGGTCACAAGAGGTTGTGTGGTTGTGGCCACAAGAGGTTGTGTGGTTGTGGTCACAAGAGGTTGTGTGGTTGTGGCCACAAGAGGTTGTGTGGTTGTGGTCACAAGAGGTTGTGTGGTTGTGGTCACAAGAGGTTGTGTGGTTGTGGTCACAAGAGGTTGTGGTCACAAGAGGTTGTGGTCACAAGAGGTTGTGGTCACAAGAGGTTGTGTGGTTGTGGTCACAAGAGGTTGTGGGTTGTGGTCACAAGAGGTTGTGTGGTTGTGGTCACAAGAGGTTGTGGTCACAAGAGGTTGTGTGGTTGTGGTCACAAGAGGTTGTGGTCACAAGAGGTTGTGTGGTTGTGGTCACAAGAGGTTGTGGTCACAAGAGGTTGTGTGGTTGTGGTCACAAGAGGTTGTGGTCACAAGAGGTTGTGTGGTTGTGGTCACAAGAGGTTGTGTGGTCACAAGAGGTTGTGTGGTTGTGGCCACAAGAGGTTGTGTGAGGTTGTGGTCACAAGAGGTTGTGTGGTTGTGGTCACAAGAGGTTGTGGTTGTGGTCACAAGAGGTTGTGTGGTTGTGGTCACAAGAGGTTGTGTGGTTGTGGTCACAAGAGGTTGTGTGGTTGTGGTCACAAGAGGTTGTGTGGTTGTGGTCACAAGAGGTTGTGTGGTTGTGGTCACAAGAGGTTGTGTGGTTGTGGTCACAAGAGGTTGTGTGGTTGTGGTCACAAGAGGTTGTGGTCACAAGAGGTTGTGTGGTTGTGGTCACAAGAGGTTGTGTGGTTGTGGTCACAAGAGGTTGTGGTCACAAGAGGTTGTGTGGTTGTGGTCACAAGAGGTTGTGTGGTTGTGGTCACAAGAGGTTGTGGTCACAAGAGGTTGTGGTCACAAGAGGTTGTGGTCACAAGAGGTTGTGTGGTTGTGGTCACAAGAGGTTGTGTGGTTGTGGTCACAAGAGGTTGTGTGGTTGTGGTCACAAGAGGTTGTGTGGTTGTGGTCACAAGAGGTTGTGGTCACAAGAGGTTGTGGTCACAAGAGGTTGTGGTCACAAGAGGTTGTGGTCACAAGAGGTTGTGGTCACAAGAGGTTGTGGTCACAAGAGGTTGTGGTCACAAGAGGTTGTGTGGTTGTGGTCACAAGAGGTTGTGTGGTTGTGGTCACAAGAGGTTGTGTGGTTGTGGTCACAAGAGGTTGTGTGGTTGTGGTCACAAGAGGTTGTGGTCACAAGAGGTTGTGTGGTTGTGGTCACAAGAGGTTGTGGTCACAAGAGGTTGTGTGGTTGTGGTCACAAGAGGTTGTGTGGTTGTGGTCACAAGAGGTTGTGTGGTTGTGGTCACAAGAGGTTGTGTGGTTGTGGTCACAAGAGGTTGTGTGGTTGTGGTCACAAGAGGTTGTGTGGTTGTGGTCACAAGAGGTTGTGGTCACAAGAGGTTGTGTGGTTGTGGTCACAAGAGGTTGTGTGGTTGTGGTCACAAGAGGTTGTGTGGTTGTGGTCACAAGAGGTTGTGTGGTTGTGGTCACAAGAGGTTGTGGTCACAAGAGGTTGTGGTCACAAGAGGTTGTGGTTGTGTGGTCACAAGAGGTTGTGGTCACAAGAGGTTGTGTGGTTGTGGTCACAAGAGGTTGTGGTCACAAGAGGTTGTGGTCACAAGAGGTTGTGGTCACAAGAGGTTGTGGTCACAAGAGGTTGTGGTCACAAGAGGTTGTGTGGTTGTGGTCACAAGAGGTTGTGGTCACAAGAGGTTGTGGTCACAAGAGGTTGTGGTCACAAGAGGTTGTGTGGTTGTGGTCACAAGAGGTTGTGGTCACAAGAGGTTGTGTGGTTGTGGTCACAAGAGGTTGTGTGGTTGTGGTCACAAGAGGTTGTGTGGTTGTGGTCACAAGAGGTTGTGGTCACAAGAGGTTGTGGTCACAAGAGGTTGTGGTCACAAGAGGTTGTGGTCACAAGAGGTTGTGGTCACAAGAGGTTGTGGTCACAAGAGGTTGTGTCACAAGAGGTTGTGGTCACAAGAGGTTGTGGTCACAAGAGGTTGTGGTCACAAGAGGTTGTGGTCACAAGAGGTTGTGGTCACAAGAGGTTGTGGTCACAAGAGGTTGTGGTCACAAGAGGTTGTGGTCACAAGAGGTTGTGGTGGTTGTGGTCACAAGAGGTTGTGGTCACAAGAGGTTGTGGTCACAAGAGGTTGTGGTCACAAGAGGTTGTGGTCACAAGAGGTTGTGGTCACAAGAGGTTGTGTGGTTGTGGTCACAAGAGGTTGTGTGGTTGTGGTCACAAGAGGTTGTGTGGTTGTGGTCACAAGAGGTTGTGTGGTTGTGGTCACAAGAGGTTGTGTGGTTGTGGTCACAAGAGGTTGTGGTCACAAGAGGTTGTGGTCACAAGAGGTTGTGGTGGTTGTGGTCACAAGAGGTTGTGTGGTTGTGGTCACAAGAGGTTGTGTGAGGTTGTGGTCACAAGAGGTTGTGGTCACAAGAGGTTGTGTGGTCACAAGAGGTTGTGGTCACAAGAGGTTGTGGTCACAAGAGGTTGTGGTCACAAGAGGTTGTGGTCACAAGAGGTTGTGTGGTTGTGGTCACAAGAGGTTGTGTGGTTGTGGTCACAAGAGGTTGTGTGGTTGTGGTCACAAGAGGTTGTGGTCACAAGAGGTTGTGTGGTTGTGGTCACAAGAGGTTGTGTGGTTGTGGTCACAAGAGGTTGTGTGGTTGTGGTCACAAGAGGTTGTGTGGTTGTACTCCCTCACGTCAACAAGGTCCACAGTAAACAACTCCACCTGATAAATCAAACATCCATGAACACTACCACAGAGCGGCTTTACTAACCTACGCGAGACACAGTAAGTATTGTGCAGCCTCCCTCAGCAACACAATATTGAGACGATGGTAGTCTCAGTCTCTGACTCTAGTAAACACAACACTTGTGGAACATTAACAGTAAACACGGGCGTAATTGGCAATTAATATATATCAAAATGTAAACATAGATAATGCCTTTATAGATAATTTACAGTAAAACATTGCACTTTAAAACTTAAAAATCTAAAAATTCTATATCTTGAGGTTATCTTGATTTCGGGGCTTTTAGTGTCCCCGCGGCCCGGTCCTCGACCAGGCCTCCACCCCCAGGAAGCAGCCCGTGACAGCTGACTAACACCCAGGTACCTATTTTACTGCTAGGTAACAGGGGCATAGGGTGAAAGAAGCTCTGCCCATTGTTTCTCGCCGGCGCCTGGGATCGAACCCAGGACCACAGGATCACAAGCCCAGCGTGCTGTCCGCTCGGTCGACCGGCTCCCTTGAAAGCAGTTCAATCCGTAGGTCGACAGCGTGCGTTAAGTATATATGTTTCTCGTGTGAGAAGAGGCGGCGCGGGCCGGCGGCCGGGGAGGACAGGCTCTCATAACTTTATTGTTCCCAGGAGGATCAGGGAGGGAGTCTGATCCTCCAGGCCCGGTAATGAGGTTATTGGAGCCTTTATGAACGTTGCTCAGGCGGGGGACGGCGGTGGGCGCGGGTTGTTACGTCTATACGGGGCAGCCCGCCCGCCGCGGGGGGTCACTCCGCCAAAATAATGATGGACCTCTCTCACGAGCGTATAGGGGACTCGTTAAGCCCAGATGGATTATATCTACCACTGGTATATCTACCACTGGTATATCTACCACTGGTATATCTACCACTGGTATATCTACCACTGGTATATCTACCACTGGTATATCTACCACTGGTATATCTACCACTGGTATATCTACCACTGGTATATCTACCACTGGTATATCTACCACTGGTATATCTACCACTGGTATATCTACCACTGGTATATCTACCACTGGTATATCTACCACTGGTATATCTACCACCGGTATAACTACCACCGGTATAACTACCACCGGTATAACTACCACCGGTATATCTACCACTGGTATATCTACCACTGGTATATCTATCACTGGTATATCTACCACTGGTATATCTACCACTGGTATATCTACCACTGGTATATCTACCACTGGTATATCTAACACTGGTATATCTACCACTGGTATATCTAACACTGGTATAACTACCACTGGTATATCTAACACTGGTATATCTACCACTGGTATATCTAACACTGGTATATCTACCACTGGTATAACTACCACTGGTATAACTACCACTGGTATATCTAACACTGGTATAACTACCACAAGTATAACTACCACCGGTACCTTTGGGACTGGTGGGACCTCCACACATTAGAAATCCTAAACATTATCTATTGATCATTATTGATATTGATCTCTATTGATTGATTATTGAGTCGGTCGGCCGAGCGGACAGCACGCTGGACTTGTGATCCTGTGGTCCTGGGTTCGATCCCAGGCGCCGGCGAGAAACAATGGGCAGAGTTTCTTTCACACTATGCCCCTGTTACCTAGCAGTAAAATAGGTACCTGGGTGTTAGTCAGCTGTCACGGGCTGCTTCCTGGGGGTGGAGGTCTGGTCGAGGACCGGGCCGCGGGGACACTAAAAGCCCCGAAATCATCTCAAGATAACCTCAAGATAAGATCATTATTTTAGGGAGAGAGAAGTAACGCAGCTACTGGCGTGCGTGACGCATGAAAGCAAAACACAGATTATATATATTAGTTGATGCTTTGTTATATGTTTATCAGCATGGTGTGGCCACCCACACCATGCTGACCCCACTGTAGTGGTCAGCATGGTGTGGCCACCCTCACCATGCTGACCCCACTGTAGTGGTCAGCATGGTGTGGCCACCCTCACCATGCTGACCCCACTGTAGTGGTCAGCATGGTGTGGCCACCCTCACCATGCTGACCCCACTGTAGTGGTCAGCATGGTGTGGCCACCCTCACTACACTGTGGTGGTCAGCATGGTGTGGCCACCCTCACCATGCTGACCCCACTGTAGTGGTCAGCATCGTGTGGCCACACTCACTACACTATAGGGGTCAGTATGGTGTGGCCACACTCACTACACTATAGGGGTCAGCATGGTGTGGCCACCCTCACTACACTATGGTGGTCAGCATGGTGTGGCCACCCTCACTACTGCACTGTGATGGTCAGCATGGTGTGGCCACCCTCACCCCACTGTGATGGTCAGCATGGTGTGGCCACCCTCCCTACACTGTGATGGTCAGCATGGAGTGGCCACCCTCCCTACACTGTGATGGTCAGCATGGTGTGGCCACCCTCCCTACACTGTAATGGTGAGCATGGTGTGGCCACCCTCCCTAGACTGTGATGGTCAGCATGGTGTGGCCACCCTCACTACACTATAGGGGTCAGCATGGTGTGGCCACCCTCACTACACTGTGATGGTCAGCATGGTGTGGCCACCCTCACTACACTGTGATGGTCAAAATATTATGTGGGTCAGGATGACCTACATAATATCGGACCACTTAGTATACAGAGATTGAACAACTGGGCAAGCACGACACAGACCGAGCTATTGGGTATTTATCTAGCCACTGAATACCTTAAGCTCAATGGTGGTGGAGTTATTTTCTGTGACTCTAAAAGTGCTCTGCAGTCCTTAAATAACCCATCACAATGTATGTCGGAAGTAGCTTGTAACATTAAATGGAATGTAATTTTTGTCAATGATAATAACTCTTGTATAAAATTTGTGTGGATCCCATCCCATGTTGGAGTTGGAAAACCTGACTTTGTAGATCGATTGGCCAATGAGGATTGCAGGAAAGAAAATATTGATTATGGCTTTGGACTATCTAATGCAGTTATTAGAAACATACAAATTAAAGAAATTAATTCAGATTTAGAAGAACTAAGAAATGCCCAGAGACCTGAAAGCTGCAGTATTAAAAGTTATGACAAGTTTTGTAATAATAGGTATTTGTATGGTCAGCACAGTAACCGGACCAGGCAATGTGATATAGTCATTGCGCGAATTCGCCTTGGCTATAGACACCTCTGGCAGGTTAGTGAGGCTGAGCCACTACCAGAATACTCAGATTGTAAACTCTGTGATAAACCTTTAATGCAGTCACTAGAACACTGTATTGTTGAATGTGAAACCGTAAAGGTCTTTAGACCTCCTGGCCTCTTGTACCACCAACTGTGTAACTATTTTATTGACTCAGGTGTTCTGGACGACACCATGACAATTTACCCAAAATTTGTTTGTCCATTTTAAAGAATGAAGAACAATTCATATTTATATTACTTCTAAGCTGCATCACTTATGAACCCATCCCTGCCCTTGTGTGGCAGTGCACAATTGAAAGTTGTTTTCACATATCCATACATTAAAACATTGATTGTAATCATGATATATATGTGCTTCAGCCTACAGTTTAGACCTATTGTCTTATGTATGACCCTCTGGCCTGCGTGACAGTGAATACTAGCATTATCCTCACTTTAATAAGACTATCAAAATCCTCAGATTAGGCAAAATTGTAATTAATTTTGTCAATAAAGATGTTAATAATAATAACTTAGGCCACGACTTTACCACCATGATCTACGTCCCTACATGACCTACAGCAGAAAATAACATGATGTTCAACTTTGATAAATTCCAGGTACTCAGGTACGGCAAAAATGAGGATCTTAAACATAATACAGGGTAGAAAACACAATCGAATCTGCCCATAGTAGGAAAACAGCATGTCAAGGATTTGGGAATAATGATGTCCGACGACCTAACGTTTAGGGAGCATAACCAAGCAAGTATTGCGTCAGCCAGAAAAATGATAGGATGGATTACGAGAACCTTCAAGTCCAGAGATCCCATCACAATGGTTGTCCTCTTCAAATCACTGGTGTTGTCCCGTCTCGAGTACTGCTCAGTACTCACTTCCCCCTTCAGAACAGGAGAGATTGCTGAAATAGAGGGAATACAGAGAACATATATGGCACGCATAGACGAGATAAAGCACCTAAATTATTGGGATCGTCTCAAAGTTCTCCAAATGTACTCACTAGAAAGGAGACGAGAGAGATACGAAATAATATACACATGGAAAATACTGGAGGGCCAGGTCCCAAATCTGCACAGTAAAATAACAACGTACTGGAGTGAACAACATGGAAGAAAATGCAGAATAGAACCAGTGAAGAGCAGAGGTGCCATAGGCACAATCAGAGAACACTGTATGAACATCAGAGGTCCATGGTTGTTCAACGTCCTCCTAGTGAGCATCAGAAATATTGCCGGAACAACCGTGGACATGAAGCTAGATTGTTTTCTCCGTGACAAGGTTACTGAGGAAAGGAGGATAGAAGCACAAACCAGTGAATCTGTACGATGGTACAACATGGTTGCAGCTGGCAATCCCAATCATTATGGCCGAAGAGGAGGACGACGAGGGAGAGAATCAGTAATAGCGAGAATCCGTCTTGGATACAAATATCCATGGAGATACGGAATGGAAACAGTTGATCAGCGAAGTTGCAGAATCTGTGGTGAGTGATGGACACCGCCTTGACCACTATCTACGTGAATGTGAACACCTGAGAGACATTAGAAATATGTGTAGAATAATAAACCCCACATTGTTTGAGTTAGGAAAACACTGTTTGTCAAATATTGATACTGTTCTTAAAAGATTTCCCCATTTTGCACCCGCGAGATAACGTAAGCTTTTAAGAGTTGACAGATGTTAATCTTCTTGTTTGAGGAGCTGTTCACTTGAGACAGTTAAGCAAGTCCCAGCTGTGTCTGGGTACAAGTGACAGGATGAACAACCCAGCGGGTTTTCTTCCTATTGGGGAGTGTTGTACATGCTGCTATGGCGGTGTGTCGACTCACAGGATGAGTGACGCTGCCCAACACTGTCACTATGGCGGTGTGTCCCTCACAGGATGAGTGGCGCTGCCCAATACTGTCACTATGGCGGTGTGTCCACTCACAAGATGAGTGGCGCTGCCCAATACTGTCACTATGGCGGTGTGTCCACTCACAGGATGAGTGGCGCTGCCCAATACTGTCACTATGGCGGTGTGTCCACTCACAGGATGAGTGGCGCTGCCCAATACTGTCACTATGGCGGTGTGTCCACTCACAGGATGAGTGGCGCTGCCCAATACTGTCACTATGGCGGTGTGTTCACTCACAGGATGAGTGACGCTGCCCAATACTGTCACTATGGCGGTGTGTCGACTCACAGGATGAGTGACGCTGCCCAATACTGTCACTATGGCGGTGTGTCGACTCACAGGATGAGTGACGCTGCCCAATACTGTCACTATGGCGGTGTGTCCACTCACAGGATCTTCTTGAGGTTATCTTGAGATGATTTCGGGGCTTTAGTGTCCCCGCGGCCCGGTCCTCGACCAGGCCTCCACCCCCCAGGAAGCAGCCCGTGACAGCTGACTAACACCCAGGTACCTATTTTACTGCTAGGTAACAGGGGCACATGGTGAAAGAAACTCTGCCCATTGTTTCTCGCCGGCGCCTGGGATCGAACCTAGGTCCACAGGATCACAAGTCCAGTGTGCTGTCCGCTCGGTAGACCGGCTCCAAGGCGCCAAGATGAGTGGCACTGCCCAATAAACTCGCCCCTCGGGGCAAAATTTAAAAAATTTAAAATTTTCTCCAAGGAGTGCCGGACCTACCGGGCTGTGATGGGTATGTGGGCCTGCGGGCCGCTCCAAGCAACAGCCTGGTGGACCAAACTCTCACAAGTCAAGCCTGGCCTCGGGCCGGGCTTGGGGAGTAGAAGGACTCCCAGAACCCCATCAACCAGGTATCAACCTGGCAACCCACCATGACCTGCCCACCACGACCTAACGTCCATGTCCAACCCACCATTACCTACCTACTATGACCCACCCACCATGATTTACCCACCATGTCCCACCCACCATGACCCACCCACCATGGCCTACCCACCATGACCCACCCAACATGACCCACCCACCATGACCCACCCACCATGACCCACCCACCATGACCCACCCACCATGACCCACCCAACATGACCCACCCACCATGACCTACCCACCATGACCCACCCACCATGACCCACCCACCATGACCCACCCACCATGACCTACCCACCATGACCCACCCACCATGACCCACCCACCATGACCCACCCACCATGACCCACCCACCATGACCCACCCACCATGACCCACCCACCATGACCCACCCACCATGACCCACCCAACATGACCCACCCACCATGACCTACCCACCATGACCCACCCACCATGACCTATCCACAATGACCCACC